AAATAACTAAATAAAAAGGCAGCCTCAAACTGGTGTGGCAGCTCACAGATTGTCAGACACAGGTTCCCTATAGTCACTGCTCTGCCGTTCTTAGGGTATGGCCCTTGATTCTTAACGCCTAGGAGAGCAGTAGGAAAAAAGAGACTCCAGATATTGGGGACCAGGAAATGGTGGAGTGGTAATGCAACTGGGTCCACATGGGAAGGGACCTGAGTTCACATCCCAGGGCCTCCCTAAGCACTCTGGGAGCATAGGAATGCACGTGCTCATAATCTAGGCAGGCTGAGGTAAGGTGGGTTGTGGCATGAAGACCCTGCCTGTCTCTGTTGCTGTCATGGAAAGAAAGAGACTTAGAGAGAGAGAGAGAGAGAGACCGTGGTAGGACTTAGATCTCATTGGCTAGAAGACAGTTACATAATTTCTATAGCTTCAGTGGAGTCTGGAAATGTAGTCTCATTCCAGGGGCAGTGAGTCCTGCCAAAACCAGGACTTTTTCACTAAAGAAGATAGATGTAATGAGGTTAGTAAGCTATTAGAAATGTTAAAACTCCTGATTTTTCTCATTTGTTCGTTGCTTTCACAGTTAACCAATATCTTCTGTTACTAGGTAGGCAGATGTTGGGGAGACAGCAAAACTCAGACCTAAGGGGACTGTTGGTAGGTTTAGCGAGTGCTGGAGCTCAGGGCCGAGTGAATATGTGCTCTTGGCTCAGCGCTTCCTCCCAGGCGCCACACGGCTGCCGCCCTAATGCTTCCTGCTGGCTCCTGTCTTTTTTCTAGCTCTCTTATATGTCATATACGTTGAGTGCCTCTCTTTTATATAAATACTGTTCATTTCATTTTTCCTTTCTGCTCATCCCTATTTTTGTTTCTTTTCCAGATGGATCTAGATGAAGACGCTGCTGAAAAATTTTACCAAAAGTTACTGGAATTGGAAAAACAAGTGAGGGACACCATTCACAAAAGATAACCAGAGCTGAGAGTGAGGCTCGAACATGAGCATCTTCTGTACATTCTGGGGTACTTGCGTTCCCTTTGAACTGGCCAATAAATATTTATGTAAACTTTGGGTATTGTTCTCTCTTTTCCTTTTGTCATGGTGTGGATAATTGTCTGTCCTCCAAAGGTTCATGGTGTAGAATTTGGTCACCAGTGTAATTTCACTGGGGGGTGGGGAGGTCTGGTGGGCAGTGATCGGTTATGGAAGCACCGGTCTCATAAATGGATTACTGCTGTTTCCTGAAAGACTGAGTGAATTCCAGCTCTTGTCAGGGGGGTTAGGTGCTACCTTATAGTGTATTCATGTTACTCAGAGTTTCACACCTAAAGTCAGACATGTACTCACTGGTATGTACATACCAGCTAAACTTGCTATGGAAAGTAGTTAAATTGGGACCAGCAGTTAGTGTAATGGCTATGCCACTGGACTCCCATGTAGTTGACCGTGGTTCACGTCCTGGACCCAGTGGCTTAAAACTCACGCCGGGTGCGTGTGTGTGCGTACGTGCAGGCGTGCATGCGTGTGTGCTCAAGATCCCGAGAGGAGAACGGAGGAGAAGGGATTGTAGCGTGGCCATCCCCCCTGAGGGGTGATTTCTTGCTTTGTGTCTCTCTGTCTCTCTCTGTCTGTCTGGCGAGCATACGCACCCTATAGCAAAATCCTCTCCAAAAAAATAAATAAATAAATAAATAAGAAAGTAGTTAAATTACTTAAAAAATTTTGTGAATCAATAAAATATGGGGGTAAAAAGAATGGAAAACAACTGTAGATGCCTAAGATAGTGTGGGAGGAGGGTGGGAAATGGCAGAGGGTGAAAAATAGGGGTAAAATAAATATATACATATATATATATGAAACTAGAAATGGAAAATTAATGACGATAACATGTATGACTAAACCACCATGCAGTATATTTTGGATGGGAAATCACATTTTCTATGCTATGACAATGCTCAGGGAATGAATGTAAATTAATTAATTAATTAAAAATGTTTCAGAAGAAAATGACAGCACACATGTCACTAGAGTCTAGCTTTGTTCATAGTTTTAGTTTAATGTCTTTTGTGAAGCAAAATGTGGGGAAAAAATAAATAAAAAAGGAAAAGAAAAAAAGGGAGAGAAGGGGTTAATTCTCTGAGAATGGACCACCGTTACAAAAGAAGATGGCTGCCCCAGGTCATGGTCTCCGTCTCTCCGTGCTCACTTCCTGCGTGCAGTGGCCATCTTCTCCACTTCTGTCGGACACGTTGTGACATAGGCTGCTCTGATGCCACCCCTGTGCCTTCGGACTTTCTGGACACTAGAACTGTGAGTCAGATATGCCTCTATTTCTCTCCAAAGGACCCAGCCTCAGGTATTTCTGTTAGCGACCCAGTTAGTGACCTTCCTTTCCGAATCACCTCTAAGACCTTACGTGTGCACACGAGAGAAAGACTGAGGGTGAGCCCCATGGTGCAGCAGTAATGTGTTGTTCAGGAGAAGTTGGGTCCTGCATGTCCTTGGTTTGAATCCCCAGACTGGTCAGACTGAAATATACGGAAGTATACAGTGTAAGTGCCCAGGGTCCGACAGGCTGGGAGATAGGGAAGATTGTGATGTGACCAGACCCTGTGGAGGGTGCTTCTCTCTCTCTCACACCCCACCCCTCATGTACACGCTGCTATATCATGAATAAAGAAAAGAATGTTAAAAGAGAAAAAGATGGATGAGGTAAAAATAGCAATAGAGTCCAATGGTCTCCAAAGCATTCATAGAAATGTGTTTTATGAGAAAACTATGGGCCAATTTCCAAAAAGTATTTTACACCAGTGAAAACTTGTCCTTTATTTCCATTTATCCACAAACTCTTTGAAGGCCCCACGTGTTCTCCAGATCAGAATCTTCACATCTGTTGCTGATTCCTTCAACTCTAGTGCAGTCAGCCCACAGATGTTCTGTCCTGTTGTCTGCCACCGGGAAGCCACGCTAGATCACAGGGTCCAAGGTGTGGACGTTTGTCATCCCGAATGGCACAAGTGCATCAGTAAGAGGAGGTGCTGCCCATGCCAAGTTGCAGTCTTAGCTTCATTGCTGTCCTCATGCACCATTTCTTAGGTCTTTGCACTGCTTATTTCACATGCTTCTCTAACTTTCCAGAAACTGTTTTAGTACCCTAACAGCCCTGCCTGGCTGCCCATGTAGTCATCACAGGAACAGGACTAGGTGGGTGTGGGTCACTTAAATAACTTCTTTTCTTACTTTAAAAGTATCTTACGGACATCAACATAGTTTTTATGCTAATGTTGGGCCAGATCCTTAACACCATTAGCAAATTTGTTCGTTTGTGACCAGACTATTTTCATGCTCATATTTTAGTAGATATAAACATGAAGCAAAAAATTATTCACTGGACCAAGCAGATAACAGGCTGGTTATGGTGCTGGCTCCCACATGGCCGACTGCGTGCTTCCAGTCCCAGACCTGGCAGCTTGAGAAACATGCCTGGCACATGTACATGTATGTACAAAATCCTTAGAGGAGATGGGATTGGGGTGTGGCCATCCCCTGCAGGGGATGATTTCTCACTAAACCTCTCTCCTCTCTGTCTGGCACACATGCCCTAAATACATTTTTTGCCATAGGATGTGTGCATTCCCCAGATAGAGAACAAGGGCATTCACTGAGGAAATATTTTTTATTTTATGGAGTGTACTTTTTGTGCCATGTCTGAGAACATAGCCCTAAGCTATAAAGCTTTTCTCTTATATTTTCTCCTAGTTTTTTATTTATTTTATTATAGTTTTACATTTAAATCCATGTTCATTTGTCAAGAAGTTTATTTCTTCCCTGAGAGGAGGGCAGGCACACTCAACAGGGTCTTCACACCACTCCCAGCCAAAGCTGGACCAGATCTGGGCACTCACATGCCTGTGTGTATAGGGAGGCTCTGGATGCAAACTGGAAACCTTCCCCTGTGGCCCGGCATTCTGAGCATTGTGTTTCAGCTGTCACTGGCTGGCCCTTTGAGGTCCATTTTCAGTTCACCTTTATGCAGTTTAATGTGAGATCTTCTCACCCCCTTCTATCTTCTCTTTTTTAATCTCCTTTTTAATCTAATTTTTCCAGGTCCATTTACTGAAAAGGCTGTCCCTCCTTTGAATTGCTTCTATGCCTTTGTCAAAAATCATTTAAGCATATTATTTGTGTGGGTCTGTTTTGATTATTTTTTTCTCATTTGTCAATTAGACCTCTGCCCCTCCACCAATACCGCACTGTCTTGATTACTGTAGCTATGTAGTAATCCTTAATATCAGACAGATTCTTTCCACATTATTCTTCTTTGCCATGACTGTATCAGGTGTTCTATGATTTGTGCCTTTCAATATGCATTTAAGAATAACCTTGTCTAATAAAATCTTGCCAGTATTTTGATAGGTATTGCATTTAACCTATAGATAGAGTTTGGGATAATGGACATATTTGCTATGTGAATATCCTACTCTATGAACATGGTATGTTTCACCATTTTTTTTCAGCTCTATTTTTTATTTTTTAAAATATTTTTGAAAAAATATCATTTTTTTTTACAATATTTTCAACTTAAACACTATTCCCACTGAACACGTATGGCAGCTTAACCTACCCAAATATGAAATTTAAGAAGCCAAAACTGTTCTAGCTTTGTTAAAAGAAAAGTTGTGCTGCAGACTGCTGTCATGATGGTTAATGAAGCAAGGAAAAGCACCACTCAAATCATAACGTTACAGTCTCTTTGTTCAATTAGATTATGGGTTGGTGCTGGCCCTATGATCAACCTCACACAGGCATAGATAGCTATGATGCAGTGAATCCTTAGATGATGATGTAGTTCTCACATCTTCGGATGTAACGTTAGATGCAGAATTCAATATTCCTAACACAATAACATTTCAGAAAAGCTTCATCTGATTGCTACTTTGTTAGCTCATAACCAAAGACATATTTATCATTGTACAACAAATTATCTCACTTTCACACCGCTGCTTCAGGAAAGGGAAACTCTTTGATGGGAACAAATGCAAATTTAAGTCCAAACTGAGAAAACCACTTAACAATTAGAACTTAATTTAAATTCACAGATTTTTTAAAAGTTTAAACATTAACCATGTTAGTTAACCTTAAGGGCCAAGTTTAGCTTCAAAGAAGACAACTCAGTAAGATTTGGAGGTCATTTTAATTTGGTACTTTGTCACAACTTGACTGGTGCTTTCCTTGCTGTCTTCACATCAAGCCTTGGGGCCAATTCTATTTTCAGTAAATGTTTGACAGTTTTTTACTTAATAACAGTCTCAGCACTTTTATTAAGCATGCAAGACTAACAAAAACTTCAGCAATACATAAGTGTAACAACAGTGACAAGAGAGCTTTTACAATTAAATCTTCTAATACTGCTTCACAGTGTGGACATTATGCTACATCCACCAGAAGAGGGCTCCATCTACTCAAATATTTTAGTACTTCACCCCAGGAACAAACTCCTTTGCATTTGGATTCAGATTGCCCTTGACCACAAGATCTTCCAGAGAAGAGCCATCACTGATAACAAGGTCATTAAACTGGTCTTGGATTTGGTCCATAGTTTGTGGGAGATCTCAAGCTGGAATGAACCACTCATGTTCTTCTTCCTCTTCCAGCATTTCTTGGAAACAGGGTTCAATAAGTTCCTCTTCCCATAACTCCTCTTCTATTTGTTGTATTCCTCTTCATTTTCCATCCACATATACTCTGCAAATGGATTGTCATCTTCATGAGGATGACCGTTAATAATCACATCCTCATTGATGATACTTGGGCTAGTACTGCTGCGACTTGGATCTTTCATGGTTGGCGTTAGTTGTCCTTTCCAGTGCTCGGCAGTGGGACGGCAGCCAACGAATCCTGTCGGCCTCCCGGGATCTCCACATGCAGCGCTGCTCCCCCGCTCAATGTGCGCTTCGCCGGCCTCCTCCCTTCTCCAATCCAAACAAACCTGTTTCACCATTTCTTGAGTCTTCTTTGATCTCTTCAGTCAGAATTTTGTCATTTTCAGTATACGTCCCTGTACATGTTTTC